AAGACCAGGGTTTATCTTCAGAGGAGGATGCTGAAGCAAAGAAAGCCTCTCCTACCCCAAAGAGTAAAGTTAAATTGTCACCTGACCAAAAAGAATTCATAGAAGAACTTAAACAAGACTTTAAAAATCAGATTGTTATTGTGTTTGTCCTTTGTTGTCGAAGAGGGGCCTGACATCAGGGAGATGATGACACGACTTGCAATTTACTTTGTTTTGAGTGAGGGAGGGCTGTGCAAGGTCACCAGCCTCACTTTCTCCTCCAGAGACATCTGGGTCCAGCAGCCAGATATTCATCAGGACTACTGCAGATAGTTCAGGATGCAATGGGAGACACTGGCCCTTTTAAGCTAAGGTCTTTTTAGTTCTCATTTGGAATGAGGCAAGACCCATTCAGTGAATAGACCTCTTTAAGAAGTAAGTCAAGGGATGGCCCCTTTCATTAAAAAAAATTCAGACTGGGAGAGGAAGACCCTCAGGGTCTCTGGCCAAAAGAGAAACAGTTACTATTTACATTCACTCTCAGCTGGCCAGTTTCAGTTGGGCATCTTTTTCCCCCTTCCTCTCCCCCTGCCTATGATAAAGTATGGATACACAAACACACACACACACACACACACACACACAGAGGTGCATACACTTACATACATATACTTAGATATCTATAATCATATTCATATATAGACATATATATTTATATGCATCTATGTAAGACCATACTATATTTGTTTGTCCTCTGTTTCTCTGAGGGTGGATAACATTTTCCTTCATAAATAAAATGAGAGAGATTGAGGGAAAAGTTAAAAAAAATAAGAACAATCCAAGAAAAACAAGAATATCATGAAAAGAAAGTCAACCGCCTGGAAAAGGAGATCCAGAATCTTAAGGAAGAAAATGACTCCTTGAAAATTAGAATTGGGCAAGGGGAAGTCAGTGAAGTTATGAGACCAAAAAATAATAAAACAAAATATAAAGAATGAAAAAAAAACATAAAGGAATGCACAGTATCTCATCAGAAAAAACAACTGATCTGGAGAACAGATCAAGAGAAAACATAAAAATAATCAGATTGCCTGAAAATTATGATTAAAAAAAAAGAACCTTGATATAACAAAACAAGAAATAATTAAAGAAAATTGTCCTGAAGCAGTGAAAGTAGAAATTTAAAAATCCACTGATCACCACCTGAAAGAGATCCTATAAGGAAAAGCTACAGTTTTTAGTTAAATTCCAAAACGCCCAGCTCAAGAAGAAAATATTATAAGCAAAAAAAAAAAAATTCAAATATGGCAGAGCCACAATTAGAATCATGCA